CTGTACGTCTAACTCCTCTTCAGGCCTACTTCCAGGATGGATAACTTTCATGTCCTGGATTAGCTGATTGTCCCGGGCCTCCCGGCCATGTAATGGGATTTCTCTTGTGCTGACATGAGAGGAGGTTGTGGAAGTAATTCTGTGTCTCAGATTCTCTACCATACTGCGGAAAAACTGAGCTGCATGAATCTGTACAAGCCTGCCATTCTCACGCAGGGCAACACCCTTGAAGGACTTCTCAGCTAGAGCTGTATGAACTGTAGTCATGTGTGGGCCAGGCATGGTGACCATGGATTCAAAAACTCGTATTTCTCGAGTTAAGAGCCTATCTGCTGTAGGCAGTGTCATCTCTCTTTTTTGGAGTTGCCGAGAGAGGTCGCTGAGCTCTGTGAGCGCATCGTACATCAGTCCCAGATTGCTGACAAACGTTGCAGATGTGAGCACATCATCCAGGCCCTTGTACTTTGCTCTGTCTCTGGAATCCCTGCTCGTGTCGTTTGCAGCATTTGTGAAGTGATCATGAAGCACTCGGTAGTTTTCCCAGACTGCTCTGACGCTCCTTTCACTTGAAGCCACCCAGCGGATGGACAAAACACGCCCTATCACCAGGAGACGCTGTCCGACTGCTTGCGCACACTGCGCTAACTGCCTCTGATTTTTGGGGGAGGCATGGAACAAGGAATAGAGTTTGTCAAAAAGATCTGGAAATGATTGAGCCCTGAGACCTCCTTGACCACATCCCCAACTGCCAGCTCTAGACGATGATTGGAGCAGTGCCACACAAACAGGCTTGGGAATTTACTACACAACTGGGTAGCAACGCCTGTTCTCTTCCCTAGCATGACTGAAGCCCCATCACATGCAAAAGAAACGAAACACTGACCTAAAAAGTCCTCGTTAAAATCTCTTCCAAGACACTCCATTAACGCCTTTGTGATGTCATCAGCCGTTGTTCCATCCAACTCGATCAGCTCCCAAAAAAACGTTTCGGGCTCAGCATCAGCTAATGCTGAGCGTAGACACACAACAAGCACCGTTTTACCACTAATAGTGGTAGATTCATCGACCAAAACACAGAGTTTTCTTTGGTTTTCTGTAATGTCTTTTGCCATTTTTTTCTTCAGCTCATGAGCTATGTGGTCGATGATTTCGCCACAGGTTTTATTGGAGTGCAAAACCCTGCCCACGTTCAGCCCATTCAGTTTCTGTACATTCAAATCAATTGGCATGTCTGTGAATGGCCGGCTATGTTTGCCAATTTTATATGCCGTTCGAAAAACTCTGATAGTGGTGTCTAATTCAGATTTATGCATAGACTACACTTGATGTTGAATAGTTTCACGTGAAGCAGATGTAAGGATGTCCGCAGCTTTTACATGGGCTTGTGATTCTTTATGTTCTTTGATTTTTTTCTCAGGCTAGCTTGTTGTTTGCCCTTGTCAACACCGAAATGAGACACTGCACACTCACCCCATTCAGTTGACAGTTTCAGTCCTTGTCCAGTGTGTATTCCCAAAGATTTGACATCTCTGCATATCCGACATCCTAGCTTCTTATCTTTAAGAAGGAGCCATGCATTGGTCTTGCAAAAATATTGCACCTGGTCCGTTGTCCAGCAGTCAGGTGCATCACTTTGCCCGGTGTTGGTGGTGGCAGTTGCGCCAGCAGCAGCTAACGTTAGAGGCTCTGGAGGAGGCGGCGGAGCTAGTGCTAATGCTAATGCACTAGAACTTGGAGCAGGAGGATCAACCAAAGAAAGCTCCCCATCAGACACAATTTCCAACACAGGCACAGCATTCTCTGTATTTGAAGTTTCTTCCGGCGACAACCGCTGTCTTTTTGCACTTTTATTAATCCACGCTAACATTTTAGAAATGCTAATTTGTGACGTGACTTGCTTTCCTTCCCTCGGGGGCGTGCCTGCTCTGTTCTATCACTCTACATAGCCACCCACTGGGTGGGAGTTGCACTGCATAAACACAACACACGTGCATCTAGGTATGTAAATTGTAAAGCATTAAAACATGGTTTTACTAACAGTTTTCAGTATGTTGTTACTTCGGCATTATTATTATTATTATTATTTTGAAACGTGTATTACTATTAAATCACGGTCAAATAGGTTAATTTTGACATAGTCGTTTCCACCACAGTATTTACATGGAGAAGATAAGCCCCGCCCCCTCTCCAGCACGTTCTGTTTGAATGACAGGAGTAAACAGCTGACAGCCGCTGTGAAACTCCAGCGGTTAGAGCGATGAGAATGTCCGTTCGGCACCTCATGACGCATCTACTGAGTACCGGGCGGCTGTATATATATATATGGATGTATAATAAGAACGGCGGGAGAGTGTTGAGTACTGGCACGGTGCATGAGTACCGGAGTACCGCCAGCATGCCGGTACTGAGCAAGAAGTGCCGGTACTCCATGGGTCAGAACCAGAAGTGCCGGTACTGCGTACCGGTGAGTACCGGCCCAATTCCAGCACTGAGTAACTAGTAATGGTAACTAGTTACTGGTTTTCAGTAACTAGCACAACACTGCCTGTCACAGGGCTTGGTGTGTTTATTTGGTTGGGGCTCGATGTCCACATAATCACTGACTGGGCGGCCATTGGGTTAAGATAAGAGATAAGATAATACTTTATTGATCTCAATTTGGGACATTGTTGTGTTGCAGCAGCATAAAAGACATGGCATTGTACAATACAAATGAAAAAACTAGAAATAAACAAGAAAGTAGAAAATATACATGTCGAATTTACAAATTAACAATAACAAAAGCAAAATATAAAGCAAGTTATTATGTATACATAAGTATGTGACGGATGGATTGTTGTTGGTTTTCTTTGTACACAGGCATCTTGATCAGCCTCTTCTTCACTCATAGCAGTGTCACTGTCCTCTGATTCCATCTCAAAATCACTTTCTCCTTTTTGGATGGCATCACATCCTGCACACTGAATCCAGGACCTCTCTTTGCTGGTGGCATTCTGAAATGGAAAAAGTCATTAATAAATATGTATCAATAATACATATGCTTATTATATTGTAATATATTACCTGAAGGAATAGATAGGGTGGTGGAACAAGTGTTCATTCTGTCTGGCTTAGCCTATTATCACACTAAAAGGAATGCATGCACCCACACATGCAGGTAAACCAGTTCAACAAGTCACACAGTGCTCTCTGGCTAATGCTAACAGGCTAATTATCATACTAAAAGGGATACCTCCAAATGTCCCAAAACATTTCAGAAAGAACTGTTTCTGCCAGAACCAGAGAAGAGTTGAATGTATTTTTGTAACTAATGAACTGATAAGATACAAGTAGAGTTTATAATATTGCTACAGATATAATTTCACATACTGCTATCAGAAATAATGTATTAATTTATTCAATTCTGGTGTTAATTCAACATCTTAACAGATGACACATTTAGAACTTAGTTATAGTGAATTATCAAAGACATTATATTTTTCTATTGGTGTTTTATTTCCATATAAGAAGGTAGCCAGGGCCGGTCATTAAAGGAGGCGATCCAGGAAGCATTCGCTCTCTCAGACTTGCTGCTGACTCCAGAGCCTCTTTGTGGTCCCTGAGAGATTTGGACATTATTCTGTCTTCTTGTTTTTAGTATTGTTAAATGTGTGTGTTTTGGGAGGGGGAGGATTTGGGTAAGTTTGGGGTACCCTCTACCTCTCCTCACTTAGGTAAACTCTGTTAGACACACTGTAGATTGTTGCCACCCTGTAGTTGTTTTGTCTCCTTGTTAGTAGAACAGATAGTGAGGGCTTTTTGTTTGAGTTTTGTTATATTCATTTCTTTAATTTGGCACAATCTTCTTTGTCTCCTCACTTAAAGAACATTTGTTGGCATTTTCTTTGGTGTAAATAAATAAACTTGTGTTCACTTTCACCCTGACTGTTGTGTGTTACTGTCTCCATTTCCCCTACACTTTATTAGGGATGGAAAAGACACATATATATATATATTAGTGCTGTCAAAATTATCGCATTAACGGCGGTAATTCATTTTTTGAATTAATTGCGTTAAAATATTTAACGCATTTAACGCATGTGCAGAATGGCCCGCCCCATACGTGCCACCAGTGGCAGCGCCAGGGTATGGCTGGGGTAGGCTACACCCATACCAAGAAATGGCTTAGCCCCACCATGAAAAATGATGTTAAAGTAAGCAAAATAAAGTCTGCCAACTCGCGGAGTAAATTGCACAGACAGCAGTTAGTAAGATTGATTTCAGTAGCCACGGTTTTGAAAACTTTTGTCACGTAGTGATCGTCTTCTCAATAGAACATCTTTGATAACGGCGCTGTGTTGTTGCAGGAAGTCCCGACGGAGAATACTTTTGCTGTAGTACAGGGGTGCACATAACTGGTACGCAGGTTATGTGCGTAATCTCTCTGAAATGCGTACCGTCACTTGTGTCACAAAGCGCATTTGCGTACCGACGTACTTGTGAACCTTTTCCAGAAGGCGGTGAGATCACCGGACGACAGAGTCGGTCTCCGTGTGCACAGACAGGGCTGCTGTTAACGTCGGTCTGTACAACGGAATTGTGCCAAAACTACGCCAACCGGCTGCGGAGGGAGACTCCCCCCCCTTCACTGGAGAACTGCGCTAAAACAGCTGATCACAACGTTCACACTCTGTGGTCACGAAGTACTCCACTAGCCGCCCCCCCCCCCCCCGCCCCCTGTCGACTTTCCTGAAGTACTCCCCCGTTGATAGAAATCAACACGTAATGAATTAAGACCCTACACGGTTTGATGATTGATAGGTGTGTGGGTTGTCTTTCATTTTGACACGCAGACAAATGTTATAATAAACATAGATACTGTATGTTAAATGGATATATCCGCCTTCTTTCATTTATCTTTCCATTCCCACGACAATATGCATAAATAAATGGCATATTTTGGACATAGTTCGAATGGTGATTAATCATGATTAATTCATTTTTAAACTGTGATTAATCTGATTAAAATTTGTAATCGTTTGACAGCCCTAATATATATATATATAGATACGATTCTGAAAAGGGCCATAATGCATAAGGAGTACTTTTACTTTTGGTACTTTAAGTATATTTTGATAGCAATGCTTTTGTACTTTTACTTGTAACAGAGTATTTTTACCCCGTAGTATTTCTACTTTTGCTTCAGTAGAATATCTATCTAGAGATTTTTCATTTATTCTTTATATATTCTATTGTGTATTGCTTGGAGGGGGGGGGGGCACCAAATCATAATCTGGCCTAGGGCACCAAAATATCTAGGGCCGGCCCTGTATGCTGCTTTATACTTCCACTGCACTACATTTTAAAAGACAGTATTGTACTTTTGAATCCACTGCATTCATTTCACAGCTTTTACTAGTTAGATATAGATTAGTAGATTCAAAATATAAATCAATTATTAAATACACTTTGACAGATATTTAAGATATCCAGCAGCAAGACATAAAGTTATTCAAATGATCTCTACATTGACTAACTGTGATAGCACACATCAATAATTATTATAGTAACCCAGTAACTCAATATATAGATATGATTCTGAAAAGGGCCATTATGCATAAGGAGTACTTTTACTTTTGGTACTTTAAGTATATTTTGATACCAATGATTTTGTACTTTTACTTGTAACAGAGTATTTTTACCCCGTAGTATTTCTACTTTTGCTTCAGTAGAATATCTGAGTACTTCTTACACCACTGCCACCATGAGTGTGGAGCTGTGTGCTACAAAAGCCTGACTTTAAAACAAATATTTTACAGCTGAAGACTGTTTTCAAATGCAGAGCAGGTTGTGAGCGAGGCTCCGTTTGTAAATGAGGAAACAGTTCAGAGTGTCTGCTCCTCCTCCTGGAACGAGTCAGAGTTTGATGAGCCCTCCCTCTTCTTCCTGCTCTCAGACACAGCCAGCTCCACTCTGTATTTCCTGGTTCCTCCCCTTCAGATCCACACTGAGGGGGGATGGGTGTAACCAACATGTGGGTAAAGCACAAGAGCTGATAGGCCACATTCACTGCTCACACACACATGCTGTGCAGATCACAGCTCACATAGTTTCAGCTCTCAGGAAGTGAAACTCAGACACTCTCTGACACTGAGAGGTGAGATGGCGCAGAGAGGAGTTCAGCTGGACCGGGAAACCTTCTCTTGTTCGATCTGTCTGGATCTACTGAAGGATCCGGTCACTATTCCCTGTGGACACAGCTACTGCATGGACTGTATCAAACACCACTGGGATGGAGAGCTAATCCACAGCTGCCCTCAGTGCAGGCAGAGCTTCACACCGAGGCCTGTCCTGCTGAAGAACACCATGTTAGCAGCTTTAGTGGAGGAGCTGAAGAAGACTGGACTCCAAGCTGCTCCTGCTGATCTCTGCTATGCTGGAGCTGAAGATGTGGCCTGTGATTTCTGCACTGGGAGGAAGCTGAGAGCCTGTAAGTCCTGCCTCGTGTGTCTTATATCTTACTGTGAGAAACACCTCCAGCCTCATTATGAATTGCCTGCCTTTGAGAAACACAAGCTGGTGGAGCCCTCCAAGAAGCTCCAGGAGAACATCTGCTCTCGTCACGACGAGGTGAAGAAGCTGTTCTGCCGCACTGATCAGCAGAGTATCTGTTATCTCTGCTCTGTGGACGAACACAAAGGCCACGACACGGTGTCAGCTGCAGCAGAGAGGACTGAGAGGCAGAGAGAGCTGGAGGGGAGTCGACTCAACATCCAGCAGAGAATCCAGGACGGAGAGAAGGAGGTGAAGCTGCTTCAACACGAGGTGGAGGCCGTCAATGGCTCTGCTGATAAAGCAGTGGAGGACAGTGAGAAGACGTTCACTGAGCTGATCCGTCTCATGGAGAAGAGAAGCTCTGATTTGAAGCAGCAGCTCAGATCCCAGCAGGAGAGAGAAGTGAGTCGAGTCAGAGAGCTCCAGGAGAAGCTGGAGCAGGAGATCTCTGAGCTGAAGAGGAGAGACGCTGAGCTGAAGCTGCTGTCTCACACAGAGGATCACAACCAGTTCCTGCTCAGCTACCCCTCACTGTCAGCCCTCAGTGAAGCTACACACTCCTCCAGCATCAACATCCGTCCTCTGAGCTACTTTGAGGACGTGACGGCGGCCCTGTCAGCACTCAGAGACAAACTACAGGACGTCCTGAGAGAGGAATGGACAAACGTCTCACCGACTGAAGTGGATGTTTTACTGTCAGCAGCAGAGCCCACCACCAGATCTGGGTTCTTACAATATTCACAGGAAGTCACTCTGGATCCAAACACAGCAGAGACACATCTGTTATTATCTGAGGGGAGCAGAAAAGCAACATTCATGAAACAACAACAGTCTTATTCCAGTCACCCAGACAGATTCACTGGAGGGTATCCTCAGGTCCTGAGTAGAGAGAGTCTGACTGGACGTTGTTACTGGGAGGTGGAGTGGAGAGGGGGAAGATTTTTTGGGAGAGGAGTTTTTGTAGCAGTCGCATACAAGAATATCAGCAGAGCAGGGGGTGAAAGTCTATTTGGACTCAATGACAAATCTTGGTCCTTAGATTGTAACCAAAACAGTTATTCATTTCGTTACAACAGAATCAAAACTCCCGTCTCAGGTCCTCCGTCCTCCAGAGTAGGAGTGTACCTGGATCACAGAGCAGGTATTCTGTCCTTCTACAGCGTCGTCTCTGAAACCATGACTCTCCTCCACAGAGTGCAGACCACATTCACTCAGCCGCTACATGCTGGAGTTTGGCTTTGTGATTATGGAAACACAGCTGAGTTTTGTAAACTGAAATAGCCTGAAGTCACTTGAGGAACTCTTGTACTTCTTAAACTCACCGTGTGTCCATCAGAGCTGATGGCTCATGTCTTCACTGCACAAAGATCAGCTGTCAATCAAACATGATGGGAGGTGCTTTAACATCTTCTCACGAGTTGTTCTGTGTCGTGTGAAATTATATAATCATTTAAAACATATATTCTTATCCTCTGATTGCCTTTTACTCTGTTCAATTGTATTTGTAGTCTTGTATGTGTTTAACAGAGACGTGTGTTAATGATTTACACGTCAGGAGGGCAAAGGAAGTCAAAGGTGGATTTGCAAACGGTTAATGACGAGGGGGTTTGATGGTTTAATGGTGGGGGGGTAGGACCAGTTTCTCTTCATGAATATATGTGGATGTGAGCTGTGTTCGGGGTGCAGAACTTCTCTCTGGCTCTGTTCCTGCATTAGAGATGAATTTCACTCGTTTATTGACTTTCTTTATGACTTTATTAAATATAACAAAAGGCAAACTTTGTCCATGAATCATTGATCAGTTTCTCTGAAGGGTTTCCTCCACATTCTGTAGATGTTGGAGTTCCTTTAGGCGGCGCTCCTTCCTGTGTCTGTTTAGCCAACAGGTTGAGTGCCACATTTACATGACTGTATATTTTTTAATGTTTGGGTTTTCTTGTTAATAAAATAACTAAGAGGACAAAAGTGAAAATCTCTGTCTTTTGCTTTTTTTTATTATAAATATATACATCAATTATTTTTCTGAAACAAGATATTCTCATGTTTTTATATATATTTTATTTATTTGTAGGATTAAGAAAAATCAGATGAATTCAGATGTTATGTTATTTTGAGCTGATGTAGCTCTTTTAGTAAAGCCTGCTCATGTCTCGTCAGGTTGGTGTAGATTTCTCTTCATTGTGTTAAATTGCTGTTAATATGTTTTTGAAGCTGCAGCACGTTACTCCCAAAGCCCTAAAGAGTACTAAAGACGCAAGTGAGGAACGCAAGGATTGAATTTACAGAAGTGAGATGCAGCCATGGATGTATAATAACAACCGGATGCCTGATTCACTTGAGGGGCGTGGGGAGGGGCTCCTTATTTACTTATCCAAAGTAACTTTTGAAACAGAGGGGATTATGGGTAATGCTGCAATGATCGGTTTGGTGTTTCAGCCAATCAGAGACAGGCTCTGTATATATCTGAGACCTGTAATATATTGATGAGAAACAGTAAAATAGGGACCTTTAACACTTCTGGTTGAAAGACGGCCGCACTCCCTCACAGCCACAGACACACTTTACGATGTTCCTGACAGCAGAAGAAACCAACAGCACTATTTGTGGTTCTTTAATTGCACTAACATTGATCTCCTTGGTTACGCTGCCCCCTGGTGGAGACACTGAGCAGTCAGACTTATATGCACTGCAGTAAATGTACAAGCTGCTCTAAAGAAAGCCATCAGAAAAGCCTCGCTATGAATCATCAACAATTACATATTGGTATCAGCAGCTGGAAAACTTGATATGTTGTTCTTATTGTAGTCGATATTTAAACACAGGAAGGAATGTGTACCTGACGTAGTGTACATTTATCTACAGCCTGCAATGATTTTTATCAGCTTTGCCGTAACATTTCAATGTGTGTGTGTGTGTGTGTGTGTGTGTGTGTGTGTGTGTGTGTGTGTGTGTGTGTGTGTGTGTGTGTGTGTGTGTGTGTGTGTGTTTGTTTGTGTCAGGGACGTGCACAGACATTTTGGGGGGGCGGGAGCTCAAGTGAGAAAAAGGGCACTTCCCATAATCATTTATAACAAAAAAATGTAAAACAAAAAGTGAAATATAGTTGCACATCTCTGACTTACTGACCCATTTATTTTAATACCCTCACACTCACGCAATTGTTTAATACTCAACAGACTTCTACAAAAGAATCAGTTAACACAGAGACAATGGTCTTCTTCAGTATTCACTGAGCACAAGAGCAGACAACAAACTAGTCAAATGAATAGTTATTAAATGAGCAGCCAACAATCAAAATGATGAAGTTACTGTTTAAGGACATTACAGGCACAAAGATCCTTTTTTCATACTTGTACATTTTGTTATTTTGGTGTATTTTGCTTCCATGTTTTCTTTCACTCTAATGGAAAGAAAACTTCCAAAAAACACATATAAACGGTGTTTGTTTACTACCATGTCTGAATTCATCTATAGATTTAAAGCTAATCTGCATTTAAACATTACATTTCAGGGGAAAATACTGACTGAACGAAAGTAACTATCTGGGGAAGTTGTGAGGTGATATGTTTGTTTTTAGTTTTACCCTTTTCACCTGCAATGCCTTGGTAACTGCATGCAAATTAGCGCATTTTAAATCAGGCCTAGTTAACGCCTCATTTGCATATCAATGTGGCGATTGTGATGACGTTATTGGATACACATTCTACTGTATTCACCTTTATTGTATAGGTGTATCCCCTTAGCACATTAGCCTGTATGCCCATGATACATGGCCTTACGCTAAACCTTGAGCTAACTTACCCATTAGCTACTAGCCTTAGTTAACTATATTTGTTGTTGTCTTTTCCTGCCCAGATGCGAAGGGAATACGACCGTGGATTTCCTCTCACCTCGTGTGGATTTATATATATATATATATATATATATATATATATATATATGTTTGCTGTATTTTTTTGTGTGAACTCTGGAGGATATTAGTATAGGTTTTCGCGGCTTTGTTTCCTTCCCAGTAGGCTGTGTTTGGACCTCTGGGTAGAGGAGGGAAGTCTGGGTCCTACGGCTCATGGTGTGGCTGGCCAGGCCCCCTTCTCTTGTTTTGTTGTTTTACGATCCTCCAGACTTGGTTCCTTATTGCGGTAGGCATGCATGTGAGTTACGTCTGTGCTGAAACTAAATGCCTGTCGATAACTAAATTCTGTGTTTGTCGTGGTTGTTTTATGTTGCGGGTCTTCCCACGAGCCACTACCGCTTGGTAGGAGGGACGGGACGTAACATATGGCCCAGCCAGCAAGTCTCGCCTACAACACGTACCTCCCACACAGCCACCAGTATCAACCCGGGACAATCACACCTACCCTCCCCTCCAACACAGCCACCAGCAGCCCCATGCCCCATCACCCCCCACCTACACAGCAGCCAGACCTTGTCCTGGAAGACAGACGACACACTGCTCCCCCTGTCTTTACATTTATAATGAATAGTTGGTTTGAAAACAGTTCTGATATTGGAATATTGAGATTTTACAGTTTCTTTATGTTAACATAAATAGTTGGTTGAAAAAATGTTTGGTATTTGTACACATCACATGAACCCTTGGTATGGAATATGAAGTCATTATTCAGTCCTGATGTAACTTTACTGTGGTGAAAGCAGAGTGATAGAACAATTTACTCCAAATTATAATCTTACACATTTAGACCATGAACAACACATTTATTTAGGCCTATAGTGTAATTCTCTATATTTGCACTACTTGTTGTGAACCAAAGACTGAAACACCAAACAAAATGGATGACATGGTAAATCTGTGTTTTCCACAAGAGTTTTGAAGTTTTTCCAAAAATCGGATTTCTAAGCTAAGTATCTCATGAGACAGTGCTACTACGGTGAGTGACTTTGCATTTAGACCAGAGACTACTGAACATTTTGATATGTTACACCATGCCATGTTATAAGAAATACATTTAAAATGTGACATCTACAAATTGAGAAAATACCCTTCACTTCACATTCCAGAGGGTTAAGGAAAAGGGCAAGGCGATTTTATTTTTAAAAGACAATGAAGGCAGGTTATATTGATATATTGATGTATTTATTATATTCAAAGGCTAATTAATACTCAGTCCCCTGAATCTGGAATAATGGACAATCCACAGCACAGCCTCACAATGTCAGGAACTTTTCATCTACAGATTGCTTTGGTCTGGCTTTACCCTTCACTGATTGGTTGAAGAAACTTTGAACTTATTGTCTATGGAAATCAGAAGGAGGGGCTCATTATCATATAAAAAACCGCGATATACGCGCGAATATACACGCGTATTATGGCACTTTTGGCTTTCACTGCACTGCTAGCGCCGTGGAGCAAGCGGCCATAACAGTATTAGTCTCTTCAACTCGATATTTGTTCACTTAAATTTCATTTTGAATGCTTGGATATTCTCAATGGGTGAATAAAAAAATGTATAATAATAATAAAAAAATAAAAATGACACCGAAGCTTTCTCAGGGCGGGCCAATGAGTAAACTGGCAGGCAGGCCTGGTGTATAGTCTACAATAGGCTTGTTTGAGACGCGTTGCGGCTCGCCTCAAAGTAGACGATAATAGTCGATCGCAGCCGGGGGAGGTCTCAAAAAGCTCGCCTGAAGTCGGACAGCTCGGAGTCGGCTTCGTCTTCTTCTTCTTCTCTCGGTTTTTTGGCGGATTGCAAACAACTTAAGGTGCATACCGCCCACCTCCGGAGTCGGCTTGACTCGGTTTGCATTTATAAAGAATGCACATGTGTTTAATCGTTAATGTCAGATATGTACTAAGTAAATACATTGTTCCTGCTCAAGATTAGATTAAACTTTATTGTTATTGCACATATTACAGGTACTGAGACAACGAAATGCAGTTTAGCTTCTAACCAGGTGCAACAAGCAGTGAAGTGAAAAGTAATATACACAATAGACAGAATAAAATATAGAATGAATTGAATGATGAATAAACAGTGAGGGCTATGAATACACTAGATATCAGCCTGTGAGCAGTATGAACAGTATGAATATGCTAAGATATATAAAGTATGAAACGGTAAGCATTGCAAGTATAGTATAAAATATATAGATATTAATTCCATGATGATAAACATTGTGGAACAATGATGAAAAATGGGAATGGATGGGGCGACGTAAAACTGACACAAAACAACAACAAACTTTTGCCGAGCCAATTGGAGAGTTTCATCAGCAGCATGTGGTAAAAACCACCAATGAGCGCTCAGCTCGAGATACCAGCGAGTCGTTTCCCATCAAGCATTTCGCTTCCGCAGCCCGTGGAGAGGAACTGCGCCGCCTCGCCGCGCCTCGCTCTCAAGGCTGCGGGCGTCTTTGTCCCGCGAGATTTCAACGTCTCATGTAGGCGAGCCTCCTGATCAAGTCGGACAAATGACTAACCATCATGCAACGCACTAGCAAGACGTTGATCGCAACGCGCAGGTCTCGCTTGTCTCAACAAGCCTAATAGCTTCATACAGTACCAGTCAAACGTTTGGACACACCTTCTCATTCAATGGTTTTGGTTCATGTTTATTAATTTCTACTTTGAAGATTAATACTGAAGACATCAAAACTATGAACGAATTATCGAATTATCTAATTAACAAAAAAGTGTCTGACACACACACCTGGCTTTATGCTCTTACATTAGACTCAAAACAAACCCACAGAAGAACAGAAGCTCAATGTTCCCTGTGTGACTTTAACGCAACGTGACGCAGGAGTTCCTTCCTGTTCCGCTCAGACCGGTCTGACATCAAACTGCTGCTGCTGGAGAAACGGCTCACGCCTCAGGCTCCATTATTTATCTTAGCAAGAGATGCCTTTTTCAGATTGTACAAGTACCTTTTTCAGCTCTGGTTTCATCTGATTTTTCTTAATCCTACAAATCCTACAAAAACAGGAAAATATCTTGTTTCAGAAAAATAATTGATATATATATTTATAATTTAAAAAAAAAGCAAAAGACAAAGATTTCACTTTTTTCCTCTTAGTTCTTTTATTAACAAGAAAAACCCAAACATTATAAAATATACAGATATATATATATAGAATATTTTTTATGACATTTCTTTTAATTTGTTTTGTTGCATTATTCAAACTTTCATTATGCATTTAATACATTGAGACTTAGTTACAAATTAAAACAGAGAAACAACAACATACAAATACATCAATATCGATATTCAACAAGTATTTAGAACAAAGTTGACATTTCCATGCAGAGAGATATGAGTTGAGGGTGAACAGAAGTGCTCCTGAGCAGTGACAGCCTCCATGGCTCAACAGACACAGGAAGGAGCGCCGCCTAAAGGAACTCCAACATCTGCAGAACAACTCATGAGAATATGTTAAAGCACATCCCATCATGTTTGATTGACAGCTGATCTCTGTGCAGTGAAGACATGAGCCATCAGCTCTGATGGACACACGGTGAGTTTAAGAAGTACAAGAGTTCCTCAAGTGACTTCAGGCTATTTCAGTTCAATAAACTCAGCTGTGGCTCCATAATCACAAAGCCGAACTCCAGCATGTAGCGGCTGAGTGAATGTGGTCTGCACTCTGTGGAGGAGAGTCATGGTTTCAGAGACGACGCTGTAGAAGGACAGAATACCTGCTCTGTGATCCAGGTACACTCCTACTCTGGAGGACAGAGGACCTGAGACGGGAGTTTCGATACTGTTGTAACTAAATAAATAACTGTTTTGGTCGCAATATAAGGACCAAGATTTGTCATTGAGTCCAAATTGACATTCATTCCCTGCTCTGCTGATATTCTTGTATGCGACTGCTACAAAAACTCCTCCCCCTCTCCACTCCACCTCCCAGTAACACCGTCCAGTCAGACTCTCTCGACTCAGGACCTGAGGACATCCAGTGAATCTGTCTGGGTGACTGGAATAAGACTGTGGTTTCATGAATGTTGCTTTTCTGCTCCCCTCAGATAATAACAGCAGTCTGTTTGCTGTGTTTGGATCCAGAGTGACTTCCTGTGAATATCTTAAGAACCCAGCTCTGGTGGTGGGCTCTGCTGCGGACAGTAAAACATCCACTTCAGTCGATGAAACGTTTGTCCATTCCTCTCTCAGGACGTCCTGTAGTTTGTCTCTGAGTGCTGACAGGGCCGCCGTCACGTCCTCAAAGTAGCTCAGAGGACGGATGTTGATGCTGGAGGAGTGTGTAGCTTCACTGAGGGCTGGCAGTGAGGGGTAGCTGAGCAGAAACTGGTTGTGATCCTCTGTGTGAGACAGCAGCTTCAGCTCAGCGTCTCTCCTCTTCAGCTCAGAGATCTCCTGCTCCAGCTTCGCCTTTGTGTTCGTCCATAGTGCAGATATAACAGATACTCTGCTGACCAGTGCGGCAGAACAGCTTCATTACCTCGTCGTGACGAGAGCAGATGTTCTCCTGGAGCTTCTTGGAGGGCTCCACCAGCTTGTGTTTCTTTAATTGAGCTACGTCATAATGACGCTGGAGGTGTTGCTCGCAGTAAGATACAAGACACACGAGGCAGGACTTACAGGCTCTCAGCTTCCTCCCAGTGCAGACATCACAGGCCACATCTTCAGCTCCAGCATAGCAGAGATCAGCAGGAGCAGCTGGGGGTCCAGTCTTCTTCAGCTCCTCCACTAAAGCTGCTAACATGGTGTTCTTTAGCAGGACAGGCCTCGGTGTGAAGCGCTGCCTGCACTGAGGGCAGCTGTTGATTAGCTCTCCATCCCAGTGGTGTTTGATACAGTCCATGCAGTAGCTGTGTCCACAGGGAATAGTGACCGGATCCTTCAGTAGATCCAGACAGATCGAACAAGAGAAGGTTTCCCGGTCCAGCTGAACTCCTCTCTGCGCCATCTCACCTCTCAGTGGCAGCGAGTGTCTGAGTTTCACTTCCTGAGAGCTGAAACTATGTGAGCTGTGATCTGAACAGCATGTGTGTGTGAGCAGTGCATGTGGCCTATCAGCTCTTGTGCTTTACCCACATGTTGGTTACACCCATCCCCCTCAGTGTGGATCTGAAGGGGAGGAACCAGGAAATACAGAGTGGAGCTGGCTGTGTCTGAGAGCAGGAAGAAGAGGGAGGGCTCATCAAACTCTGACTCGTTCCAGGAGGAGGAGCAGACACTCTGAACTGTTTCCTCATTTACAAACGGAGCCTCGCTCACAACCTGCTCTGCATTTGAAAACAGTCTTCAGCTGTAAAATATTTGTTTTAAATTCAGGCTTTTGTAGCACACAGCTCCACACTCATGGTGGCAGTGGTGTAAGAAGTACTCAGATATTCTACTGAAGCAAAAGTAGAAATACTACGGGGTAAAAATACTCTGTTACAAGTAAAAGTACAAAAGCATTGGTATCAAAATATACTTAAAGTACCAAAAGTAAAAGTACTCCTTATGCATAATGGCCCTTTTCAGAATCGTATCTATATATATATATATGTGTGTCTTTTCCATCCCTAATAAAGTGTAGGGGAAATGGAGACAGTAACACACAACAGTCAGGGTGAAAGTGAACACAAGTTGTTTTATTTACACCAAAGAAAATGCCAACAAATGTTCTTTAAGTGAGGAGACAAAGAAGATTGTGGCAAATAAAAGAAATGAATATTACTAAACTCAAACAAAAATCCCTCACTATCTGTTCTAATAACAAGGAGACAAAACAACTACAGGGTGGCAACAATCTACTAACCTAGTGTGTCTACACGGAGACGAAAACGAACCTTAGTCGATATCAAAAAAGTCTTCCGTCCACAGGAATCGGCTCAAGAAACGTGGCCCTTCTGTTTATTCTCCGCGGAGAATTTAGCAACATGTAGTACATGTAATTCTCCATGTCCACTTGTTGCTGATGGTTGTGGTAGAGGAGCTGTAGGTGTTGCACTAACATCTGTATCATGGTCAGTAGCGTCATTGATTGTTGTTGTTGTTGTTGGCGAAACACATCAGCAGTGACGCGGGGGTGAGCAGGAGAGGTGGGGAGAGGCGGGGCTATGGCGTCATCGTTATCAGGAAATGATCGTATAGGGCGTACACACGGAGCCGTTTGGCCCCCCAGAGCGTTTCGGCCGCAGATCTACCCACCTTGGGAGCCGTTATCACAGGGCTATCGGATTCGGGCTCCGTGTGGGCGTTTCCGTGTCGGCCTCGTGTGGACGAACCGTCAATACGATAGAGAACGTTAGCGGATTCCACTGATATCGTCTCCGTGTGGACGGGGTCTATCAGAGTTTACCTATACGTGAGGAGAGGTAGAGGGTACCCCAAACTTACCCAAATCCTCCACTTCCCAACACACACACATTTAACAATACTAAAAACAAGAAGACAGAATAATGACCAAATCTCTCAGAGACCACAAAGAGGCTCTGCAGTCAGCAGCAGGTCTGAGAGAGCGAAGGCTTCCTGGATCGCCTCCTTTAATGACCGGCCCTGGCTACCTTCTTATATGGAAATAAAACACTAATAGAACAATAGAATGTCTTTGATAATTCACTATAACTAAGTTCTAAATGTGTCCTCTGTTAAGATGTTGAATTAACACCAGAATTGAATAATTTAATGCATTATTTCTGATAGCAGTATGTGAAATTGATTTCTTTCTAACTTTACCTTAGTTCTGTTTATAATTTCAGTTTTTTAAAGCTCAATTACCACAGCCTCGTTAGTTCCATAAGATATGAGAGGGAATTGAGCGACTGACCTTCAGGTTGATAACCATCCAGTTACCCCTTGAGCTAAAGCCACCTGTACTGATATCAATCAAATCTTAACAGTTGGGCTTCAACGTTCATAATCTGTCAATATGTTGCTTTTCAAGGATAAAACCTGGTACAGCATCTCAACCCGGAACTAAAGAAGCGGGAATACAGTGTTCAAAATGTAACACTTGGAGTTGTCAGAGGAAAATATTAAAGCAAAGCAGACACGTACATTTGTTGAAACTTGTCATAGTAATTGACAGTATTCACCTTCTCCCCTCACACGTTTTACAATGCAGAAACTTCATTCAGACATCAAAACATATAGCTCAATTACGTCTATGAGTCTTATCATTTCTGACATTAGGACTGTCAAGAGGCTATGGCCGAGAGGTAGTGTTGATGTCTTATAGTCAGAGTGTTGTGGGTTCCAGCCCTGCTTTCATTACACACACTTTTGGTAGGAAATTAAACAATAACATTTTTGAGGCTAATAAACATTTACATCTGGCTCTTGAGGGCTCTGAAGTGAAGTGTGCTTCTTCTGCCAAATCTACCCAGACATATTACCACAAATACAAAAGAGGCAGCACTTGACAATGATACCACTCAGCTCAATGTCATGTTGAAATAAAAAGTACACTAGATACAAAAAATGAAGGTATAAACAATCTGGGTCTGCAAAATATATTTATTATATCCGCACAGGGTTCAGGTATTGTGTGTGATAAGGCACTGTTCAGTAAATATAGACATTGTTTAACATATTATTTTACGTTATTACTTCAAAATGACTTTCACAGCATCACATCCTCGGATCGAGGTGTCGAGGAGTCGAGGAAGGGAAATTAGAGAAATGAGAAAGGCCCTATAGGAGTAACGTGCTGCAGCTTAAAAAACGATGAAACATATTAACAGCAATGTGCCCAAACACATGCAGATGAAGAGTAATCTACACAAACCTGATGAAACATGAGCAGGCTTTACCAAAAGAGCTACATTAGCTAAAAATACATAAAATCTGAATTCATCTGATTTTTCTTAATCCTACAAATAAATAAAATATATATAAAAACATGAAAATATCTTGTTTCAGAAAAATAATATATATGTTGTGCTCGGGTCTCCTGTGACCCGTTTCAAGTTTAATTTTTTAATAACTACACTCTAGTTTTTTTTTTATCTGAACGAGGCTTCATGATATCCTCCACAGCAGCTATATAAACACTACAAAACTGATTTGGACAATTTTAGCCAAGTCTGAAGGTCTCTAAAAAAAAAAGTGTATAATTTGGTGTTCGGGTCTGGGGATACCCTGCAGAATTGTTGTGGGTCACTCGGGGTCAAATTTGGCCCAATCAAAATTCATCTTTGACTTTAGACACCCCTCCCCCACCCCCTTCATCAACTATAACAATACTTTTTCCCAACATGCACCTGGTCTCCCCTCCCCCCACGGGAACTCCACCTTTCTCAAAGAATATGTGCACTAACACTTGAACCTGAATCCAATCCAATCCACTTTATTTATATAGCACAGTTTAAAAACAGAGGGTTTGCCAAAGTGCTTCACAATGAACATAACATTATAATAAAATATAATATTACACGAATAGATAAAAAGCACACATAAGAAAAGATAAAAAAAGCACACATAAGAATAAATACAAGGCACATAAAGGCTATGGACAGACAGTAAAAGCATACAAATAGGTAAGACATAGCTCAGACTGACTGGTAAGCGAGGGAAAAGAGGTGGGTTTTTAGGCGGGACTTAAAAACTTGAAGAGTGGGTGACAATTTAACCTGAGGGGGCAGGTCGTTCCAGAGCCTGGGGGCTACAGATGAGAACGCTCGGTCTCCCCTGGTCTTTTTGTTTTGTTTTTGGGACTACAAGCAGCAGCTGATCAGCCGACCTCAAAGCCCTTGAGGGGGTGTACACCTGTAAGAGGTCGGAGATGTACTCTGGGGCCAGCCCATTAAGAGATTTAAAAACAAACAATAAAATCTTAAAATGGACTCTAAAATGGACAGGAAGCCAGTGGAGGGAAGCCAGTGGAGGGAAGCCAGTGGAGCGAAGCCAGAACTGGTGTGATGTGGTCAAACTTGCGGGTTCCTGTAAGCAGCCGCGCTGCAGCGTTTTGTACAAGCTGCAGGCGGGCCAGCGAAATATTATTTAGGCCGGCATAAAGTGCATTACAGTAATCTAAACGAGTTGAAACAAAGGCATGAATTACACGCTCAAAGTTTAAAAAGGATAAAACCGGTTTAATTTTGGAGCCTCAAGTGATAAAAACTGGATGTAACCACAGAGTTTATCTGTTTATCTAATTTAAAAGCACTGTCGATTTTGACACCCAGATTTGTGACCATGGATTTTGCATACGGTAGCAGGGAACCTAGGTCAATGGAAGGGACATCACCATTTGGTCCAAACACAATTACCTCCGTTTTGCTCTCATTTATATTAAAAAAGTTTAGCGCCATCCAGGCCTTTATGTCATTAAGACAGTCAACCAGGGGCATCAGAGAGCTAGTGTTTTTTCTTAGGGGTAGATATAATTGGGAGTCGTCCGCATAAAGGTGGTAGGAGACGCCATATTTTCTAAAAATCAGTCCAAGGGGGAGAAGGTATAAGGAAAATAAAATAGGCCCCAAAATAGAACCTTGGGGAACTCCACAGGATAAGGGGGCAGAAGAGGATGTAAAGTCACCAAGCGTAACAGAGAAAGATCTCTTGGACAGATAGGACCTGAACCACTCTAAGGCAGTGCCCCTGATACCCACACAGTGCTCTAGACGAGAGATAAGGATGGAGTGGTCAATCGTATCAAAAGCAGCTGTGAGGTCTAAGAGCATAAGGATGGCAGAGTCACCAGGGTCTGTAGTGACCGGGAGGTCATTGAATACTCTTAGAAGGGCAGACTCAGTACTGTGAAGCGCTTTAAAACCGGATTGAAAAATATCGAAAATATTGTGTGCATGTATAAAAGACTGCATCTGTAAGAGTACGGTTTTCTCCAATATCTTTGAAATAAAAGGAAGCTTCGAGATGGGTCTGTAATTTGAGAAGACAGAAGTGTCCAGATTAGTTTTCATTATCAGGGGAACTCATATGCACGTGTGCAATATGTGGTGTAATGTGTTTTGGGGCTATACAATACAATTACAACAGGATTGTACGGTTATGAATGCATAATAAGTTAGTTATGATGTAGTTAAAACAATATTGGATGATAGTCATTTATTTTTTGTGTTTTGGACTGAGATAAATCATGGGTCAAAATGTACCCGCGAAGACCATGAACGGTAACAGCTTTTGAACACAACACAAGGGTTAAAGAAAGCATGAGACTGAGATTTTCACTTTTGTCCTCTTAGTTCTTTTACGGGACGGGTGGCGCAGTGGTCTGTGCATCTGATCATCAGATCAAGGGGGGTGCTGGGGAACTCCAGTTCGAAACCCGCTCCTGCTGCCACAGGCCGTTGTGTCCTTGGGCAAGACACTTCACCCGGATTTGCTCCTGTGGGTATTGTCCACAGTACATGTATGATATCAATGTGTACTTGTAAAAGCACTTCGAGGCGTGAAGATGGACGG